TATGAACTATGTTATGCCAGGTGTCTTAAGTTATCACGTGAGACTAGGCCTACACCCTTCAGCCCATTAACCCAATCCTGCGGGCTGTTTGTGTTCAGGAAGTCTTTGTAACTGTTCTCCTCTGTGCTTTATTATCCTTGTTGTCTTTAAGCACACTGATTTCTTTAAGGAAAGTGCTTCACCTTCTAATAATTGCCCCATTTCTCTCTCAAGTGTCATAGATAAGACAGTGATGGTAGCATGCCCATTTTTTCACCACACGGTCAGTCTCACACCACCGACGCCTCAGATCACCACCTCCTTTGCTCTGACTTCAGAGGCCTCAGCTCCCATTTCCTTCTTTGCCCATTCGCATCGTTGGCAAAGAACTTGTGGGGCTGCATTTGGCATTGTCAGTGGGTTCTCCATGTGCTTTATTTCTGATAATTCATCCTCTTCTATGAGGGGGCTTCAGAAAGTTTGTGGGGAAATGGAATTAAAAGGCAGTGGAGTTTTTTCCCGGTGCTTTTGAAGTGCCACATATTTGTCCTGTACCCTTCCAGTCCTGTGTGTAGTTTTAGCCCTGTGCCATGCTGACTTCTTCAGGACACATCTTTTCACTTTGTCACCTTCTGGCTGAGTGACCTTGGACAAGTTAAGTCACTTCTTTGTGTAAAATAAACACCTCCTGGTGCTGCTGTGCAGAGTAAATGTTAAAACCTATAAAGTACTTAGGATACCATGAGCAAGAGCTCTGGAGTGTCCACTCACTCCTTTGCCCAATGCTCACTTTGGTTACCTGCAGAGAAGTCCGTTAACAGTTCCCACCGAGCCTGAACCAGCGAGTGACTAAGCCGAGGTCTGGTAAGCCCCCTTTCTCTGTGAAGTCCTGTCACTCTGGTTTCTCCATCCTATGATTCTTCTTTTCCTTTGTGTTTTCTGTCGTCTAACCTGTCATCAGACCCTGCCAGTTACCACTCTCGGCTCTCAGATCTGAATCTTTCCATTTCTGTCATCGGACAGTCAGTTA